AAGGGCGCACCGCACCAAAGGGCGCACCGCACATTTTGAGGGAAAAAAAAGACGTTTAAGTGCGCCTTATAGTCGTGAAAATACGGTAAGAAAATTTAACCCTAAGGTGGTTTGAAAGATGCTTGTGTAAACTGAAATGAAGATTTGTTGTATCCATCAATTTGTTACACAGAAGTTCTATCCCATCTCTGGGATTATAGAAAATTACTTGGAACATTTTATTCCATTCCTGCCAATCAGCAATCCCTCCAACTGTGCCAAACACAATATCTAGAGAAGGAGACATCCATCAGAAACACTAACTTGGAATGAAAATACTGTAACAGTGTGAGGACTGTATAATCATTGTGTGATTTGGCTGTTACATGATTATATTGCGCCTTTATAAGTGAATGTTTCTGTAGTTTTAGTAAAACTATTTCTTTTTCTCTCTCCTTTCCACTCTAGCTGCCTCTGAAGGGCGAGTAAATGGCGGTGAGGATTTCTTTCAGAAGGTAAGTGTGCAGTCTGCACTTGGGTAATGTTTGCTTTCTCTTTCTGTTGTATTCGAGCCCACTGAGCACCACTTTCTCTGTAAAGGAGCAGATGTCAGGTGTTTTGTCCAGTCACTTCTATTTACAAACTCAATCAAATAAAAACAATGGAACTTTACCGACGTTAAATGAACCCAGGACTTCCATGTCAAAACACAGCTGACACAACACTTTGACTTACATAATATACAGTGACATACACGATTATCGTGGGTATATAAATGGGCCTAGTGAGGGTAGCTATACCTCTTTTAATGACTGGTTTAATTAAAATCTCATACTGGCAGTACATAATTAATAATTTTAAAAGAATTAATCATGATTTTAGGATATTATATATATATTTGGATTTAAATTCAGGTCCCTAACATTCCTTTTTATTAGTCAGTAAGGTGTGCATTGGCTTAGTTTTTAACAGCCATTTTTCCTATTTTATGGTATATTTTCATAGACTGTATCTGTGAGAGTTAGATTAAGGTTAATAATCAAAACATTAACCCAGTATTTACCATTAAAAGATGAAACTCCTCTCATAGGTTAATTACAATAGAATTCAGTTTTATTCAGGAGCTTTCTAGGTCATTAAATGCCTAAGAAATTTATATTTTCACAGGGTGCAAACGGCAGACATAAACATAGTTGTGTGCTATCTGCTGGCACTACGTTTGATGTTTGGCAGTGTTGTTTTCCTCAAGACCAGTCTTGGGTACTCCCCTTCACCCAATACCCTCTGGACAACTTCATTTAGTTTATTAAGCTATTCTGGTAAAGTAACTATAAAAGAGGTAGAGACAGGTTAATACAGAGCCTGGGAATTGTCCTCTCTGCTGTGGATCAGACAGCTGCAACATCACTTTGATATAAATAGTACTGCAATTCACCTGAGGAACAAGCTGCAGGTACAACTTTCCTTTGATTTGCTTTTACCTACAGACAACCTGTTCTCTGTGTCTCTGCTCTAATGTGCTTACAAACTTTGAAGTTCTCCCAGAGACATGCTGTGTATCTTTGCTAGGTGTTATTATAGTAACTGTGTGACGGTTCCAGTAATTGTTTAGAGGCTGTGCTGGTTTTATTTAGCTCTAGGCTGATGTGACCATCGAGCTTGTCCACTGCTGCATCTGCATGTTCAGACTAGAATGGATTGAACATAGAAGTTCTTGCTGTAAAACCTCAATTGTTAAGGAAAGGTGTTAATCATATTCTAAACCTTAAATCTAACCATATCAAAAGTAGCTTAGCCTATAAAGAGGAACAATTGGAGTGTTATGTGTATGGAAAGCCAAAAGTACCAGGAATTAAATGAATTATGTATCTGTCCCAGGTTATGGTTGCTAGACAGTCCTGCAGCTGCTGTGTGGCAGCCCTCAGACTGAAGTTTCACCTTACCCTGAGAAGCCCAAATAGGGTAACTGAGTGGCCCTGATGTTGGTTAGAATAAGTCTTTTTTGGACTAAGCAGCAGTTACCATGACATCAGTAAACTCACAGGGACAGTACAGCCTGCATCTGACAGTCATAAATTCCAGGTCTGCTTAGCTGTGCTCGTCAAAGACTGTGACACGTTTGTTCACAGCCCTCCTCCCCTGTTCTTACCAGAGTCACAACTCCTGTCACATCTATGTGATTGCATCCTGTCAGCTTTATAGCCATGCTAGGAATGGATGAATAGAGCCAGGTCTCCGTAATCAGTAAAATGCAACACTCAGGTATAAGTCTGTTTGCTGCCAACTAAAGCTTTAGGCCATCCATCTGGCATGAAAAATGGTGGGTAGTGGTAGTTAATGTGGTTCTCGACACAGCTGTACCAAAGCACCAGCCCGTCATCCCCACTTTTGTTTCATCTCTCTTCTCCAATTTTTATGTCTCTGTTGGCATGAGTATTGACAAGAGGCCTGATTCTTGGAGAGAGTCATTTGAAAGGCGAAAGCAAACAACAAGCGGAGGATTGGAGAAGTATTCAGCAGCAATAGCAGTTGGCAGGTGTTGCAAGGCATCCAGCACATCACCGGTTTCAGATCAAGCAATACCAATGAAATCTTCAGGGATGTTTCTCTGGCAGAGGAGCTCAACCACCTCTTTGCCTGTCTCGAGGAAGAAACACTAGTGAAGCCCCTACTTCAGCGGCCATTCCTCCACAGCCAAACAATCAATGTACAGGAAGTATGGGGGACTGTCCAGAGAGTAAACCCTCAAAAAGCTCCTGGAACTGATGTTGTGACAGGGAGGGTGCTTATGGACTGTGTAGACCAGCTACATCCTACCATGCTCTGCCAGTAAAGGAAAAACAGATCCAGATTCACATCACTTGACTTGACCTCCACTGCTTTGCCTACAGACCCTACTGGTCTACAGAGGATGCAACACTTCCATTTAAACACTTCCAATTGTTGACCAGCTTTTTAACCAGATTGTGCCATATTTTAGGTTCCTTGGCACCCATATCATTTCCAATGACCAGAGATGTAAGACTGTCATTAAAAGGCACGTTATGTTGCTCATAGATGCTTTCAGACCATAATTGTTGTGATATACTGTAGCTCTCTTTGTGTAATTCAACAATTCATGGTTGAATTACAGAAAGAGAATTTGTGCTGTTATTACACTTTTAAACTGGCGGTGTGGTTAGTCTGAGAGAAATGTTAAAATCTGGCTCCATGAGGCGCATTAGCTGACAAAAGCATATCCCAGCTACCATTGTTTATTGCTAGCTTGTCTTTTTCTAGCATGTTACAAATGTGTTTTGTATTGCCCTCAACTTTTCTATCTTTAGGTATTCGCCTTCTAAGCAAAACTGACACAGCTCTACCATGCAGACTAGCTGAATGTGCTCTATTTTGGTAATAAGGAAGGGTTGACCAATTAAAAATCAGTAGGGTCCGAATAAAGAAAATCAACAACTAGTAAAGGTCCAAAGACATTTTTAATTAATTATAGTTAATTAATTAATTTAAATAATTACTTTAAACAGTATTTAACACTGATATAAAATGCAGGTGTTTATGCATTCATGTTATACATTGAATTTCTAAATAAAAAATATAAAAACTAGAATGTTTTTCCATTTTAATATCTAAATTGTTTTTGAAGTGGAATAACAATCTTTCAGTTTGGTATGTAAACAGTTTACTGACTCACTTTTTTATGGGTTAATGAGAGAAGCGGGCTTTAGGCTGACCTGCAAGGCTGTAAACCTGGGTTTATAGCTTTGCAGAATGACAAAGCCATTCTCAAGCACATATCAAGGTGCTCATTTTGAGCTAGGATGGATATTAATTTTTGGTTAAGGTCATGGTGGAGAATCCTGTTTCACAGCAGGTTGAGCCAAACATACTCAAAATGTGTAGGGTCATCTTTGAGCACACCATTCTCCTTTCCCATCGCCCCGCTTACCACAGGTTTGCTTGCTGTGTCGTACCTAGGAGCAGCAGCCCTGACTGCCACAGCTTATTGGCTAATTTGTATCACGTGCAGCTTGGTGCCGGATGCTCTGGATGGCTTTACCATACACACAGGACAAGTGGGGCAAGTGATGTTTAGACACTGTCGTCGGACAACATGCATTAGCAAGCAGGTGGGTCCGTATCCGGACTCGATCCGCTAATCTGTGAAATCAGACTTAACGAGTTTATAGAGTTTTTATATTTAAAAGTTAAACAGCATTAAGTGCATTCTGCATCTGTCGCTATTAAATAGTGTAAAAAATCCCAGATCATATTCTGGATCAATTATGTTTCCGCTAAAGCATGCCTCTGCATTATTTCTCTTGTAAATACCAGTAAGGCTCTGCTGAAGCGTCCACAATGGCACTCTCTTGTGGATGGTGACAAAACTATAACGCTGAAAAGAATTCCTTCTAAAAAGATGTTATTAGTTTATCAGAGAGCACTAATTTTAATAGAACAAACTATTAATCAACAATAAATTGTAAGTTAATTATTTGCTTACATCCCTATGGACCATAGAGGCAAATTTAATTAGTATCAGGGGCTGGATAGGTTAAATGTGGCTCTCTTGTAATATAATTTTATATGATATTAATAGTTTCCACCTGAATTGATAGAGATTATCACTTTTCAGGTTAGTGTGTATAAACAGAGTAAAAAAAACATATCTCAAATTCCTCCTCTTCTCACTTTGATGCTGATACCAAATTACCATTCAATAGTCCTCTGTTCTCCTTGCAGAGCTTTGCCAACAATAGTTGCTGCACCTCTCTCTTGTTAAAACCCCTTTTTTTATTATATGGTTGTTTGCCAAATCACACCTTTTACAAGGAGACATTTAAAGTAAAATGGCAACAAGTTGATATTAACTAGAGGAAACATTAAAATGCCCAGTACGGAGAGTAAACAACAATAAAGAATCCAAATAGCGTATTTGTATAGTTTCTTTGTTTCTTGTATCAACCAATCACAGCTCTAACAAAGCAATATCACACCTAGCAATGAGTTCAACCGCACCTCCTCTCCTCTCTTGTCTCCTTGTTCAGATCTTAAGGTGGCAAGAATTTGTTTAGGATAAGTTTGGAAATCTCTGAGAGGACTTTTAACCTGCAATTATTTTACTTAAATTAAAGAGCATTTTATTTTACATATTTTATGACATCTCTTCCAGAAGGGAGAAACAAAATTGTCCATGCATGTTTGTCTCATGAAGATTAAAACTAATTTGAATCATTCCTACAACAGGCTGTGTGTATTACTTTAACTATTATTATTAAAAGTTTTATGTAATAGTCTAAAAACTGGTGCAAAACTGACCCATTACTTGTGTTTTTATTACATAAAATCCCATTTCCTCTTTGGAAAACTCCTATCATTAATACCCTATTGTTTTTATTACTCAGTTTTGTTAATTATGTTGTTCTTTTTAAAACACCTAATGTAGATTCTTCCATGCCTAAAATCCACCCTGTAGATTGCGTTAAACATTCTCCTCAGAATGTTATTGGGTTGTAAT